GGGATGGCAAAAAAGCCACTGGGATGCTCCTGCAGCACATAGGACATGAACCCCGAGGGCAGGTAAGAGCCATTGTGAGTGCAGGAATGTCCTGGATAAACACCAGTCACAATTCCTCTTGGAAAAAGGAAAATATTGGGGAAGAAAATCCAAGACAAGTTTTTTGTCAATACTCCCCATGCAAAGGTGGGATGAGAAAAAGTAAGGCATGAGTTTGTAGAAAGAAACGAAAATATTTAAATCACAATTTTTGCTGAAGGATAGGGATGTAAAAATGTATCAATAAAGAGTTGCCCAAATGGGTTGTTTGCCCAAAAGAGGAGGAGGAGGAGGAGGAAAAGGCTCTGCAGCTGTTGTTGCTTAGGGCAGTACTGAGGGCAGCCACTCAGTTCCAAAAGCAGAAACCTTGGGACCCTGTAGTGGTTCCTACAACAAAGGAGACCACCCTGTGACACATTCCCTCCAAGCCCAATAGAGGGGAGAACCCACCTCAGCAATGGGTAAAGGGCAGGGTTTAACCCAAAGCACACCCCAAGTTTATCCTCCATGAGCATCAGAGTTAGAGCAGCACACGCCTGGGAAGGGAAACTTCTCCCTCCCTCCCTCTTGGGAGGGAAACACGAAAAGCACTTCTGAAAGATCCCCTTCCTACAGGCTCTGCACCTTCATTTTCACCGACATGGATATGAACATTATCAGCATCATTAACTGTTACCCCAAAGCAGCAACAGCACAAAAACCCTGAAAAAATCAAATGGGAACAGATTTTTCTAGGATGAGCCAAGCTCAGCCCTGGTCCCAGCCTCACCACATCCATCCCCACCACATCCACCCCGGCCAGGCTGGCCTCTGGAGCAAAACAAACATTCAGGAAACAGCGAAGGGAGGAGAAGGAACTGGAGAGAGCCCCGGGGTGACACCTGGCCTGACACCAGCGCCTGGTACCTGCCTCACCTCTAACGCATCCAGCCCTGGCCAAAAGGATCCAGCACCAAGCAGGAAGGTGTTAAAAGTCCCCAGCACCAAGCTCCGAGGAACCACAATAAATAAGCTCTGAGTAAACACAGCGGCTGCTCCCCATTCGCCTTCCTGTTTGCTTTCGCAGATCCGGGCTGGGACGTCCACTTCCAGCTGCTGGCCCCATCCCGTCCGGAGCTCCGGCCGCCACTGGCACCCTCCACCCACACGGGGCACCGTGGGCACAACCCACAAAGGGGTTTATCCCCCGGGACAGGCACCGATCCTGCTGCCCCTTCCTTCCTGGTCTGTGTTTGTTTTGATTCCCAGCAGAGGAAATCCCAGCTCGCCCATTCGCCATCAGGGAGCCATGCCCCACTCTGTGCCTCAGTTTCCCCCTCTCTCTAGCACGGGAGCTCCTCATCACTCAGATTCTCCTCGCTCTCCCTCCCTGCCCGACCAGCCCTGGAAAAATAAATTCTAAAAAAATTAAAAAAAAATAAAAAAATAACTAAAGCAACGGGTCCTGATTTAAGGGCACTTCTGTGCTTTACCACGAACACAAAGGAGAGGGAAAAACAACAACTCACAGCGAGAATCTGTGTCAGGAGCAACAAGGGGGTCCGGGGCAACCCCCCCTGGCAGAGCAGCGCCGACCGTGGAGGCTGACAATAGATAAGGGTCTAAATTGGGCGCTGGGCTCCGGCCCCGGCTCTGTAAGGCGATCGGGGTGGGGGAGTGCCGAGCTGTTTATTTGGCTCCAAACTCCGCACCGACACTGCAGCGTCACCCGTGTTTAAAATAGGAAGGAACGAAAAGAAGGGGGGGGGGGAATAAAAAAATAAATAAAGAAATAAAAAGGGAGAAAAGTGCATGCACGCGTTGAACAATAACAACAAAATAATAATAATTTTTTAAAAAATCAAGAGAAAAAGAGCCGGGGGAGGGGGGGGGGGGAAAAAAAGGGGAACGGGACCGGAGACAGCGGCGGGAACGGAGGGGAACGGGACCGGAGACAGCGGCGGGAACGGAGCGGGAACCGGATCGGAGAGAGGGGCGGGAACGGAGGGGAACGGGACCGGAGAGAGGGGCGGGAACGGGCCGGGAACGGGACCGGAGAGAGGGGCGGGAACGGGGCGGGCCCGGGCCGAGAGGAGAGGAGAAGGGAGGGGAGGGGGGGGGGGGGGGGGGTAATAAAAGGAAACCCAGTTGGGCTGGCGAGGTTTAAAGCGACGCCTGCCTTAAAAAAAGAAGTTGCTAATTTTAACTCTCCAGTGGAAAGAGTGAGAGGTACTTACAGGAGACAGGGTGGCTGCGTCCTTCTCCGCGGCTGCTGCGCGCTGGCGGCCGGGAGGAAGCGCCGGCCGGAGCCGCCATCCCCGAGCGCTGCCCGGCCCCCGAGCCCCCGAGCCCCGATCCCTCTGCAGCTGAAGGGCAGAGGCAGATGCGGAGGCAGGAGGGGGCTGGTGAAGCCTGCGGGGGGAAGGGAGCGGCCGGAGGCGGCCAAAAGCGGCGGCCGGGCTCGCTCCCTCCGGCAGCCCCAGAGCCGGGGCCGGCCCGTGGCGAGCGGGCGCCGCAGGGACCCCCGGGCAGGCGTGAGCCAGCTGCTGGGTCAGATGACATTTCTGCGCGGACCAAGCTGGCTTTTCCCCAAGGGAAAAGGGCTTTGAAGACACGTTTTTATCCACCTCCCTCCTCCCGCCAGTGGTAAAATAGCGGATGAGCTCAGAACCCAAAGTGCAGGGCAGTGCCATGACCAGAGAAGGCCACCCGGCTCCACGGGGACTGGAAAGGTGACCTCCAACAGCTCAGCCACATTTCAGCTGCGGCAAACACGGCAGGAACCCGCTGCTTTACCAAATTCAGTATTCCACATCCAAAAGGGTCAAGAGTGGGGATTTGGTTTCAGTGTGCCCACTGGCTGGATTTTACAAGCTCTCCCTGGAGATCAGGAGGATCTTGCAAAGAGCAAGGTGCCAGGTGAGGTGGCACACTCACACCTCGAGCACAGTGGGAGCCTGGAAGTTGTGAACTCCAGTTGCCAATGAACCTTTAAAAGAACACAGGCAAGGCCTCAGACAGCAGAGGAACAGAGCTGGTGACCCAAGGGCTCTTCCCAAGCAGCTGGAAATCAGCCTCAGGATGCAAAATCTCACTGGGAGAGAAGCAGGATGGACACATGATTTACCGAGCGTGGCTGCAGCACAACGATGTGACCATCCTCAGGACACGAAAGAGTCGATTCAATTAAGGTCACAGGCCCTAGAAGAATCCACTGTCACAGAAGAAGCTTTGCCTGGTTCACCTCAAACGGGGCTGGCCTCAGACAAAATGCCTATTGATTGCAGGCAGCGATGCTGCACGGCCAGGACGCGAGGAAAGGACTTCGCTGGGATGCAACCGCCCGGTGCCGGCCGTCACACGCTTCCGAGGCTGGGTCGATACTGCTCCTCTAATTGCTCAGCTCCTGTCACTCGCACAGCGAAGGGGACGAGGCTTCAAGCAGTCCCCAGAGATGCTTTTTCCAAATCCTCCTCCCCGAGCGCACCGCTCGCCGAGCTGCTCCTTGGAGCGTGCAGTTCTGCTGTTGCGGCCATCACTGAACTGCTCCTCCTCGCTCAAAACTCTGTGCTGGCACCAGTGGTGGCACAAGGGCTTTGAGGGAGGGCACTGCCAACCCAAAACCCAAGAATTTGTGTGAAACTGGAAAACAAGGAGCCGTTGTCAGTGCTGGCAGAGTTGGGCAGATGAGGGGGAGAAGGCAGTGACCGAGAGATCCTGCCACCGCCCACCTGCATCCGGGCTGGGGCACGGAATGGGCACGGTCCAGGCTCCTGCCCTCCGTGCACACCCCACAGCAGACAGACCTACAGCCCCAACACTCCAGGTAATCACTCACCACACCAAAACACGTGCCCCTGAGGTAGTGTTCATCCCACAGCAGCCCCCAGAACACTCCCGGAGCACTCAGCTCAGCCACAGCGGGACAGACCCAGCCAAGCCCTCAAACCCTCCTGTGCCCTGGGCACATGGCTGGCACACACCAAGCACCACTGAGACACAGCAGGGCCCTGCTGCTGCACTTCCCTGACCCAGCCTGGGGAGCTGCTCTTGGTTTCTATTAGCAGATGAAGCCCTTGGTGCTGACCTTGCAGAGGACGCAGTGATGCTGCCCCCATCTCCCATCACCAGGCCTCCAAATAAATTACCTGCCCCCTCTCCAGCACTAGAAGTCATCACAACCCCACAAAAGTGCTCACTAAGCAGTCGTGACAGAGCCCCCTCCGTTCAGGAGCTAGGGGCATATTATTTTTAAAAATCTTTCCTTTTATTGATTTCACTCTCAGGTACAGAAGATGCATTTCATGAAACCATAGAGCCCTCATAAACCAGCCCGCAGTGGTGTCTGTACCACAACCTCACTGCAGACACAGGAGACACAAACATTTACTGTAAGAGCAAGAAACAGGCCAAGAAGGTTGAAAAGGAAGAAAACCTGGACATGAGGCCCTCTCCCAGCAGCACCTTATTTTAGAGGAATGCAAGGAACAAAATAACAGCAGGTTTGGCCACAAGTCTTGCCCACACAGAAGAAAACAGGGCAGGAAAACCCTCATTTGCACTGATACACGGGGCTGTGTTGCAAAACACCCAAAGAGCCCCAAATCAGTGCTGTGGCTACGGCTGGGAGCCATCAGAGCTGTGCCAGCTGGGGAAGTGAAGGAGAAGACGGGCACTGGAGAACAGCAGCAGCACCCACTGCTGGGCACCACCTCCCTGCCCTGCTCTGGGGCTCTGCTGCCCACCCCACACAGCAGGACCCCCTTTGCAGAGCAGGGGAGGGGTGCACGGTGCAGCAGGGTGCTCCCTGTGCCCTTCCTGCAGCAGACCTCACTGGCTCTGCTCAGCACCACTGTGGGAGCCTGAGACCCTTGAGCTGCACCCTCTGTGGGACCCTCTGCAGCTCCCAGCCTGCAGCAGGGGACACACCAAGCAAACCCACAGGGAAGGCAGGAACCCAGAGTTTGGGATTTCCCCCATACCTGCTATGCAGCCTCCTGCATCTTCTGCTCCTGGCAGGGATGAGCTGCAGCCACCGCTCCTCAATCCAACTGCAAAGACAAAGCAAGCAGCCGTCAGCCTGAGGGGACAGAGGCAAGGACAGGACTCCCCACGTGTCCCATCAGATGGAGGGAACAGCGAGGGGAGCCCAGCATCCCCTGCAGACCTGGCTGATGGTCCAGGGGCTGCAGGGTGCCCTCCTGCACTGTCCTGATCCTCAGCATCACTGGAAGGGCCATGCAGGCTGGGCAGGCACCTGCAGGGATCCAGGGAACCAGGAGCCCTGGGGCTACACAATGTGGAAAGCACCTCGGTGAGACCAGAGGGAAAGAAATTAAAAAGAGTTCAGCAATGAAACAAATCATAAACCAAAAGTTAACATTAACAACGGATGTGGACCAGGCTGACAGCGTGGCCAGCAGAAAGAATTACTCAAATTTTAGATGAACTTTGTGTTTTCTGGGAAGATTCTCAGGCATATCCCACAAGAAAAAGCACTGACCAGCTTGCTCAGACACTGTCCTAGGGAATGCATGCAGCACATGGGCCTGGTCCGAGGAGAATCTGCCATGGCCCAGAAGGGAATGCAGCTCCTAAACTCATCCCACTCACCACTGGGAGATGGGAGGAGACCCATGGGGCAAAGCCCAGCGGCTTCAGCTGGCCTTGTGCTGGTCATCTACTGGTGGTCACAAGCATGTGGCACTTGTGCAGAGCCCATCACCACAGCACACTGCCGTGAGGGGAACAGCGCTGAACAAAAGGGAAACTGAGGCACAGAGGCCAGCAGCCTCTCTTCAAACGCACCGCGAGCTCCCAAGCTGCAGCCTCACCCCCAGCACCTGCAACAGAGCGAGGAATTGTGCTCAGCTTTCCGGCATCCTCATCCTCCGCTCCAACCACAAACCAGCCTTCCTCCCCCGGCTGCCTCCCCTCCCACAGCCAGCTCATTTCCTGACATTACCAAATTCCCCCTGAACAAAGCTGGAGCGAGGAGCGCGTGGCTCCGGCCGGGGCTGCCCCTTCCTCTCGCTCCGGAGAGCGCAGGGATCAGCCCTGAACAGCCTCAAACCTCCCAGCACTCGGGCTGGAGTCCTGCAAACGGACCAGGCACGGGGATCCCCTCACCAGGACAGACAGAGGAGTCTGTCTTCCACAACGGGGAGCAGCAGGGACAAGGATGGGGGTCCAGCTACTGCCACGCTCGCACCCATTAAGCCCAGACCAACCTGTCACCCTCCCAGGACCACTCCTTTATCCCCCTGAATAAAACAGAGTCCTGCAGAATGACTGACCTCTTGGGGACAGGGACACCCACAGAAGAAGCACCACGCTCCCAGCCAGGACGAGGGAAGTGGTGTTTAATGCAAAGGGTCCCTCAGAGGGCTCCTGAACCTCCTCTCGGTGTCCCAGCAGCTCCCACTGGTCCAGCACTGCAGAGCTTTGCAATGCTGGTGACAAAGCCACGTGGGGACTGGGGACCACAGGCTCCTGAACCTCCTCTCGGTGTCCCAGCAGCTCCCACTGGTCCAGCACTGCAGAGCTTTGCAGAACTGGTGACAGAGCCACGTGGGGACTGGGGACCACAGGCTCCTGAACCTCCTCTCGGTGTCCCAGCAGCTCCCACTGGTCCAGCACTGCAGAGCTTTGCAATGCTGGTGACAAAGCCACGTGGGGACTGGGGACCACAGGCTCCTGAACCTCCTCTCGGTGTCCCAGCAGCTCCCACTGGTCCAGCACTGCAGAGCTTTGCAGAACTGGTGACAGAGCCACGTGGGGACCGGGGACCACAGGCAAGGCTGAGAGGAGGATGTGGCCGAGGTCTGCGCCCAGGCTGGCTCTGCTTTGGGGGACTGGGGTCAGCTCTACAGCCCACTAGGATGCAGTGGGGGATGTGTGGCCAGGCAAGACCTCAGATGTCTGTGCAGAGTTGTTTCCTCTCAGTGGGAGATGCTGCTAGACACACCAGGAATGCCCAGGATGCCCACGGTGCCACGGGACAGCCACACAGTCACCACTCACAGATTCTTGCACTGACAGAACTGCCCATGACTAGTGGTGGGCAGCAGCCACATCCCTGGCTCCCACAGCCCACCAGGCCATCAGGACAGTGACTTCTGGACAATAGCTGACCCCACAGAGCCCCTGGCTGTGCCACAGTCCCCAGATGGTGACAACTAACAGCAGTGCCTTGCCAACCCAATCTGGCAGACGAGCTGCCCTTGTCAGACCAAGGTGGGGAACTCCAGGGGGAGCAGGGTTGGTTTGGGGGTCTTCAGCCTGCAGGCAGTTCTGACATTACAGGGTTGCAGCCCAGTGTCACCTGAGACAGGGACAAACAGCACATGTGGGGTGACAGTTCTGGGACCCTGACCCTCTCCAGCCCAGCAGCCCCAGGGCTGCTTCACACCCTGCCCAAGCTGCAGAATCCGCTGCCCTTTGGACCTGGTGGGACTTCCAGCACCAGCAAACCCCAGTGAACCCCCAAGCCCCCATTTTGCAACATTTTGAGCTGGTACAAAGGAGCAAAGCCCCCACTCACTGGCACTGCCAGCTCCCTTGCCTGTCCATGCTCGTCCTTTGCCCCGCCAAGCGAGTGTCCTGGCACTGCTCCCAGAACCTCTGGAGGATTTCCAAAGGTGACCAATCGACCTGCACAGTGAGAACAGGCCCTGCTGAGTGGGCTGGGGCTGGGTCAGGCCACTGGCCACTCCCAGGGCTCCTGGGCAGGTCCCAGCTCTCACCCCACCACACACGTGCCTTCGAAACCTTCTCGTTGTAAACAGAGAAATGCTGCCCAGGGAAGGGGGAAAGGAACGTGCTTTCAAAATGTTATTTTATGAGCTGAGGGGAAAAACACATAGGAAAGGGATGGAGGTGGCAAAGGCAAGTGAATTCCCCTTTCTGAGTGAAAAAGGGGTAAAGACAAGACAATCTTTATGTCCAGCTTTGGGGCAAAAATGCTGAGCAGGTGCTAACACTGTTCTTATTTGAAAACCAAAGCTTTGGCTTCACCAGCAACCAACCAAAATTCCTGAGGGCAGGAGAACTAGGGGAACCTCTTGGGATCCCCATTTTTAACTGATGCAGTTAGGCTGGCACAACCTGCCATGCAAAGGCAGCAGGGAGCTGCTCCAACCTGCCCCTAAGGATCCTGGAGGATGTGAAGGAATGGCTTTTGGTGACTTCCTTGGATATCTACTCACCTGATGCTCAACAGCTCCTGTGCCACAGCCAGTCTTTGCTTACACCCTCAAACACATATGTATTCCCACATATATAACTCCCCAATATATATATATATATATTCCCATACACATAGCTCTCTCAAAATATACATATTCCCATATGTGTAACCCACCAAACAGATATATAAATATATATATATAAATATATTCCCACATGTACAGATAAACCCCCAAATACATATTTATTCCCATGTCTGCCTCTCAAAATACACATATTCCCATATATGTAACCCACCTATATATATATATTCCCATACATGTAACCCACCAAATAGATATATAAATATATATAAATATATTCCCACATGTACAGATACCCAAATACATATTTATTCCCATGTCTGTAAACCCCAAATACATACAACCCTGCCTACATCACATATACATAAAACAGCCCCAAATAAATAACCCATGGCCAGTGCCATGGGGACTTCCAAGCACACAGCTGGAAAGGCCAGGGGAGATGGATGGGCAGAATAAGCAGTTTTGGGGCTGGAGGGGCCAAGAGGGAGGCGCAGATTGCGGAGGGGAAGAGCCCTGACCGCAATCTCTCCTTCCCCTTTTTTCATGTTTCCTCTAGCAACGGGCTCAGGGCTGCAAACACTTGGATGCCAAACCCGAACTTCCTCACCTTGGGCTCCCAACCCAGCCCGCTGCTCCTCTGCCAGGTGCTCAGGGACTGCCACCCCAATCTAGGGAGACCCCAGACCCCATTTCCCAGAGCTGTGCCATGTCAGTCTCAGGGAGTGCCAACAACAGCAAGGAGCAGACAAAATAAAACTTAAAAAAAAGAAAGAAAGAAAGAAAGAAAGAAAGAAAGAAAGAAAGAAAGAAAGAAAGAAAGAAAGAAAGAAAGAAAGAAAGAAAGAAAGAAAGAAAGAAAGAAAGAAAGAAAGAAAGAAAGAAAGAAAGAAAGAAAGAAAGAAAGAAAGAAAGAAAGAAAGAAAGAAAGAAAGAAAGAAAGAAAGAAAGAAAGAAAGAAAGAAAGAAAGAAAGAAAGAAAGAAAGAAAGAAAGAAAGAAAGAAAGAAAGAAAGAAAGAAAGAAAGAAAGAGAAAAAGAAAAAAGGAAAAAAAAGTACTTTAAAGAAAGAAAGAAAGAAAGAAAGAAAGAAAGAAAGAAACAGAAAGAAAGAAAGAAAGAAAGAAAGAAAGAAAGAAAGAAAGAAAGAAAGAAAGAAAGAGAAAAAGAAAAAAGGAAAAAAAAGTACTTTCTCCATTTTTCTCCATTTCCCCAGTCCACGAAACTAAAGCATCTCAGCCATGGCCCAGCCTCCAGTTTGCACCAGCCACTGGGAATATCCCCAAGGTTTAATTAGACCTGTTCAGCCTTTTCCAGCTGGGTTTCCTCTGGCTTAACACCAAGAGGTGGGAAGGAACAAACTGGGAGGGATGTCACTCCAAGCAGGAGCACCAGGCAGGACAGGCTGGCAGTTAAACACAGCGAGGAGCCCCAATTCCAAACCATGCAGTGGTGCCAGCGTCCCAGCAGCACAGCACCAGGGCTGTGCAAAGGGGGACAGGAGGAGAAAATCCATCTCCAGAGGCACGGGAGGCTCAGCTGCCCAGCACAACAGAGGTGAGAAGTGACCAGGAAGGATGGCACAAGCCAGCTGTGCCAGGGGCACGTGCAGAGCGTGACCACTGAGCTCCTCCAAACCCCGCAGAGGGGTGGCATGAAGGCACCCCAGATCAAAGCAGGGTGGGGGCTCACACCCCTGCCCCACCAGGGCACCCTGCACGGCACCAAATGCAGCCCTGGGTCCGGGCAGGGCTCTCCAGGAGCAGCCCTGTGGCACAGCTGTCGCTGCAAGTGCTGGCAGTTAAACACAGCGAGGAGCCCCAATTCCAAACCATGCAGTGGTGCCAGCGTCCCAGCAGCACAGCACCAGGGCTGTGCAAAGGGGGACAGGAGGAGAAAATCCATCTCCAGAGGCACGGGAGGCTCAGCTGCCCAGCACGACAGCACACCAGGAAGGATGGCACAAGCCAGCTGTGCCAGGGGCACGTGCAGAGCGTGACCACTGAGCTCCTCCAAACCCCGCAGAGGGGTGGCATGAAGGCACCCCAGATCAAAGCAGGGTGGGGGCTCACACCCCTGCCCCACCAGGGCACCCTGCACGGCACCAAATGCAGCCCTGGGTCCGGGCAGGGCTCTCCAGGAGCAGCCCTGTGGCACAGCTGTCGCTGCAAGTGTTGCAACAGCGGCTGCTGGCCCTGCAAGGACCACGGGGACATGAGGGGGCGTCGGGAGGGGGGGTGGCACAAGTGCAACCGTTGGAGCCACCGAGTTTCACTCTCGCTGGCTGAGTTCCCCTTGGGCAGCAGAGATGCAGAAGTGAAACCTGCAGCTGGATGGCCGTGGGGGCGGCCCGAGGGCCGGGGAGGGGAGCAGCACCCAGAGCAGAGCCACGCAGCACCACACCAGTGGCCAAAGGCTGCCAGGGGACCAGGGCAAGCAGAAGGAGATCAGAGGCAGGCAGGGGTTTCCTCTGGTTCACAGAGCCCATCTTGCTCCTGCCCTCTCTGCACAGCTGGGCCACCCAGCTCCTCGCAGCTGGCACATCTGGTGGGAGCAGAAATACCCCCAGGCGTG